CTGAAACGCACCAGCGCTGACTACAGAGAGCCCGAGGCAGAGTTGCTCTGCCCCGGGCTTCCTGGAATCGGCTGCTGATCAGTTTCAGCAGCAGCTGACTTGGGGACGCCTGGTGTTCTTAACTTGAATCTGTATGTAAGTGGAACTGGTGTCCAGATTCAGCAGCTGTTGAAACTGATCAGTTTCAGCAGCGGCTGATGCCAGTTCCGACTTACATACAGATTCAACTTAAGAACAAACCTACAGTCCCTATCTTGTACGTAACCCGGGGACTGCCTGTATAGCAGACATCTAAAAGCAGACAAATTGAAGTTAAATAAAAACAAGATCGTTTAGATGGTAAAGTTGGCTTTTAGTGTCCAGTTTGGGAAACTGTGATCCAGGAAATAAGTCACTTGCTCCCATTTAGATGACTTCTCTTTACACAGTGAGTTTACTATCTGAGTTCAGTAGGCTGTGAATGCCTTTCAGGGTTTTGTATTCTTTTTGATTATTTAATACCAAAGATAACAATCTGACTGCAATTACTAGTGATCTGGCTAACTTATGCTTTTTTGAAAGTTGTTCTGGTGCCTGAGAAATGGGAACTGTGGCTTAATAGACTTTTTAGCTTTCCTTCTCAACTAGTAGACATTCATCTAGAAAAATTGCTTCAAATTACAGTTTGGTGTTCTTTGGTGAAAAATTGTAATGCACAGCATATTCTCTGGGAACAAGGCATATAGCCACATTGTGTTGCTTATCTAGAAAATAACCTGGAATTGTTTTCTTTTGTCATAGCTGGTTTCCCAATGGGCTATGCAGCGGCTGCACCTGCCTATTCTCCCAGTATGTACCCTGGAGCAAATCCTACCTTCCAAACAGGTATGCAGAAAATGGTTTTTGCTTAGAAATACTCAGAACTCTATTAGAAGCTTTTGAAATTGGGAGGTGAGGAGCAATGCATAAAGATTTTTTTATTTTTTACTTTGAAAACATCATATAAAATGGTGCTCTTGCAAACTAGAGTGACCCTAGTTTATATAAAATGGTGCTCTTGCAAACTAGAGTTCTTGCATCTATTAATGTTTATGCAGTGTCCATACACAGTCATCCTGTTTTAGAGAAGAGAAAACCTTAACTTGTTTATGGGAAGTTTTGGGTTATTCAGTTGGCAGTCACAAATACTAGGTAGTTCATATCCTTACACAAATTTTTGGTTACATTTGTCACTAGTCCCTTCTGACCTGGCCCTTTAGTTCCTTGTCTCTCAGTATGTCTCTTCCCTTCTTCTTTCCCAAAGGTGTCTGGAATGTCTGCTTTATCACCTTGGATCTTTCATCTCTTAAATTGTATACCCCTTCCTAGCTCAGGACCGTGCCTGTCATGCACCTGCATACAGTGATTGTCCGACAGTTCTAGCAGCAGTGTGCAACAGCTATGATTCCAAGCAGTTTTACTAGTATGTTGCTACCAGGTCATGGGGTCAGAGCAGTGTTCAGGAATAAAACACACCTTACACTACTCAGCTAAGGGATGAGAGATTTGGGAGTACGGGGAAGAAAGAAGAAATGCACAGGGGGCCAACACACACGTGAAAATCTCTGAAAGAATCCCTCCATATGATGAGCTTGATGTTAATATTGGAATGAAGGAGAAACTGTCAGTGTCATCTCTAGTCATAAGAGAAGGGTACATTCAGACAGAGGTCTCTCTTTCAAAAGGAATACTACATACAGATAAGAAATTGCTTACTATCCTTCATAAAATATTAGCGCTTGCATAAATCTTGGCTAGCAATGAAAGGAGTGATACAGGAGAAACAGTAGCCTGTTTAGCTATTTGCTTATTGCAATTTACTACATTTTTCTAGATAAAGGGTATGTGTCAGTTGATGTGCAAAACATGCCATAGATGTCTTGGAGCTGAGCAAGAGGGCAGGGAAGAGAAGTGAGGAGCAGAAGTGTAAAGTTAATTGGGAGAATGGAAGGAGAAGAATTTGTATCAAGAGCCTGGTTCCCAAATGGGTCCTTTCCCTTAGCGCTGTAGTGCCCGCTGGTGTTGGAGCCTGCCATCACAGGGATCTTCATCTCCAGTACCCTCTGTGGATCATCGCTTGAGCTATGCAATGGCCCATCTGGTTACAGCTTCCATAACCTCACCCTCCAGCTAAGTCACCTCTTTCAAGTTGATTTCCCTTCTGAATTAACAAAAGTCCAACGAAAGAATTTGCATCAACAGTGATTCTTCTATCTTAGACTACATTGAAGTTTCCTGCTCTTCACTCCTCTTTCTGGGGGCTCCAGAGTTCCTTCTTTGCTCTTTTAGCTGAGTACTACTCCTCCCCCCCCAGGAGGCCCTTCTTCCTAGCAAGTTTCTTCACTGCCTTTCATCCCCATGGGACTCCCTGCGTTTACAGGCCCTATTTCAGAGTCTCCCAGATGAACCTAATTGCTCCCCATGGTTCTCTCCAGTCTGCCCTTTACCAGGTACTTCCTAAACGGGGGAAACGCCTCCCTCACTGAGTTCACTTCCCTCTTTATGTATTTCACCCTGAGGGCCTCCCCCCGGTTAAGTAGTTAACTGGTTAAACATAAACATGTAACTAACTAAACTGGTTAACTAATTAAATGGGATTTTACATCCGTAGTACAGACAGCAGGCATCTGTAGTCTAGTTTCTCTCAATTAAGGCCCAGTGTCAGCAGTTAGTGCTAATTCTCACTATTCTCCTGCATACTTTGTCAGGCGTTAGCTCCATTTTCCTAAGGCCTGAGTGCACTAAACAGAAGATCACTGCTGCTGCAATTGAGCTTTGGAGTTCGATTTAGCAAGTCTAGTTAAGACTTGCTAAATTTGAACTCAGAGGGTACCCTGGCTGGCATGCGGTACTATTTTTGCAAGGAGTAAAGGAAGCCAATGGGAACATTTGCTCCCATTGGCCTCCTGCTGTTGGAATGCCGCCAAGCTTGGCTTAAGGTAAGCAGACTCCAGCTACGTATTCTGCATAGCTGGAGTTGTGTTCCTTAAGCCGAGCTTCTGGGTTTAGTGTAGACCTGGCCTGAGTCTCCCCATCTTCGTAGGAGAAGTGAACTCTTTCACTGAATAGGCCCAAAGAATCCTAGATCTGTGTGTTTTCAGGAGTACAGGGACTGAGCCAAGAGCGTGTGCTTCAGTCCCTGCATGTTTGGATAATAATGTATGTAACTCCTAATGTGGACCTCACAAGACGTGCAAAAGCATTCTGGTAGCATAAAGCCTTTTAGCAATCTGTTTTTAAAAATTCATAAGAGATTAACAACAACTTGTGTCTACACAAATTTTGTAAAGATCTTTTGTACTGAATACCAATTAGGGATGTTAAATATCGGTTAATTGAATAGTCGAGTAACCTCATGAATTCTTATCGGTTAGTTGACTATTCTGTAGTTCCTGGGGGCGGCAGCCAGAGTGCTCCAGCCCCACTACTAGGGAGCCCCCTGCCACTCCGTACTGCTGCTTCTGAATCAGAGGCAGCAGTGTGGGGTGGCAGGCAGGAGCTGGTCCATGAAGTGAGCTAGTTTAAAAACCAGCTCCCCTTGCGGACTGGCTTCCTGTTGCCCTGTGCTGCTGCCTCTGATAAAGAGGCAGCAACGCAGGGTGACAGCAGCCCCTGTGCTGGAAGTGGGGTCTTAGCTCCCAGACCTGGTGCAAGCTGGAGCTGAGCCGGGTTGCCTGCCCATCTAGCTACTTAATACACTTTAAATGTAGAGCCACAGTGGGGGTAGGTCCTGGACCCAATGTGAGCCAGAACTGCCAGGCTGCTGGCCAACCTGCTAAAAAATGTAGTGGCAAAAGTGGGGGGCTGGGGGAGGCGGAGATGCGTGCAGTCTATAACCTTAACCTATAAGATTTTGCTTATCTGTTAATCGACTACACTGTTATATTCCTAATACCAATGAGATGTAGGTACATGAGGCTTTTAAGCTGACTCCACACAGGCACCGCTGCCTTCTCTTCCCCCCTGCTGCCTCTGATACAGCAAGGGGGATGAATGTGTGTAGGGGACAGGATTAACCACCAAGCCTAGGCTTATCAGTTAATTGTGTAGTCACCTACATGCTGTGTTTCTAATTGTATTTGTCTTTATGTACCTAATACCTTTAAGAATTTCTACCTAGGAACTGATGATAAAATAGTGTTCTAAGTAAGATAACTGTGAACCATGAGGGTTAAAAGTAATAACTGCAGTTGTGTTAATCTGAAACATTGGTGTACAGCTCTGTTCATTTTGTGGCATTTTAAATCAGACTTACTTTTGCTGCAGGTTACACACCAGGCACACCATATAAAGTATCCTGTTCACCCACCAGTGGTGCAGTGCCACCGTATTCCTCCTCACCCAATCCCTATCAGACTGCTGTGTATCCGGTTCGAAGCGCCTATCCACAGCAGAACCCATATGCACAGGTAAAAAGGAAAGCTCTGCTGTTTTGTGCCAGGTCAACAGTCTGTTGCTGTTAAACTTGAAATGTTCCATTGCTTCATAAAATAAAGATGGCCACTTATTTCTACTCGTTTTGAGGGTTTGTTACCAAAATGATTCATGTACATAAAAATGAACTTTCCTGTACATGTGTAAATTTACATGCTTCCCCCTGTAATTCTTCCCTTCTGCTCTGTGCTCTGTGCTCTGCTCTGTGCTGATTAGAACTGCAAACTGTAATTCTTCCATTCTGCTCTGTGCTGATTAGAACTCAGCTGGAGTATTGTGTTTGCAGTTCTGGGCACTACATTTCAGGAAAGATGTGCTCAAATTGGACAGAGTTCAAAGAAGAGCAAGAAAAATGATAAGTTTAGAAAAAAAATACTTCTAAGGGAAGATTGGGGGCAAAAAAGGGCTTAGTATGGAGATGAGAAGACAGAGAGGACATATGTTTTCAAGTACAGAACTGAACTAAATTACCTCTCAGGATCCTTCCAGTCTTGTATTTCTGTACTTAAGTCAGAAGTTTTAAAAAACAGGTGCCAAAATCAGGCTTTGAAGTCCAGATATGAATATTTGAATACATGGCTTTATCTTACAAAAATGTTGAGGGACTTGCTAAACTTCATGTGGGCTTCTGTTTAGCATATTTGGAAACTTTAATTTCAGTTATTGAAATAGGTCACTAATTTTCAAAAGCGTTTAAGTTACATTTTCTGAATTAGAAACCTGAAGAACAAAGGTTGGAAACTTGAAAATCAGTGAGAATTAAGAGGCTAGGTGCCTAAATCACTAGTACAAATAGCACATTTGCTTCCAAATCTCTTAAGGTAAGATTTCAAAAATGCGTGTGTCTGGTTTTGGAAGCCAACTTTTGAGCATGCCATTTCTCAGGTTCTTACCCTTTGCTTTTGAAGAGCTCCTATGAGAGGATTTGTGGCAGGATCACACTGATGTTCTGCTGGTCAATTTCACTCCACTTCTGCTGTGCCCTGGTGAAAGCAGGAACAGAGGCATGGTTATTTACTGCTGTGGAGTAGACACAGAGGTCTCTCATCCTACTTTTTCCTGACCTTCCAGAGGGTGGTGGATCCATGTAGAGTGCTTCCCCTATGGCCCAGCGTGCAGCAGCATAATAAAACTGACAACAATAGCATCAGTTTCACTCTTGTGAATCACTAGACAAGTATATAGCATACAGTAATGTAAGTGTGATCCTGTGGAGAGGTTTTAAGTGTAGAAGTAAGGAGGAAAGAGCTGGGGCCAGGCTAAATGTCTATGAAATGTGAGCTGAGCTTAGAAGCAGGGATGTAAAAGGGTAAATAGTTAACAAGTTACCCAGTAAGCATAGACTTACTGGCATGCTTACCAGGTAACCAATTAACCAGAGGGCCTGGTCAGCGGAAACAGCCCCTGCAGCCGTGGTGCAACAAGACCGGGGCCAGAACAGCCCTATGGGCGGTGGTTAACCAGTTAAGATGTTGCTTAACTAGTTAACTATTTTAGGAGGTTTTTACAGTCCTACCTGGGAGTTAAGGTGCAGCATGTTGTAATTTTTAAGTTGCTTGTGGGGTGTTGGGAGTACTCAAGTGGTCTACTTAGGTTCTGTTGGAAGAAAGGATCTTCATGTTGCACTCTAGTAACCTTGTAGGGATTCTGATTCTGAGAGACTCAGCCAGATAGCTCATTACCTTGAGGGAGAGCAACTTAGAGTCCCCAAATCATGAGAAGGGAGGGGGCAAAAACACCAAGTCCACACACAGAGGAAGATAAAAAGAACAGCTTCACTTTAGAGCAGAGTTGTACGAGGGAGAGGGTTTGGCTGCCCAACTAGTAGTTAAAGTAGCTGAAGATTGTCCTTTTGCAACGCTGACTTTTAGTTTCTCTCTGAGCATTTAAGTGTTGTCTCCAGTCCCTGCCATACTCAGACTCCTATCTCTGGAATACACATTGCTTCCTTAAACATCTCCAAGGTTGAAATGTTGCTTTCAGTACGTGTGATAGTGCAAATAAACTTAGTGGGTTTACTGACTTTTCTTTTCCAACAGCAAGGCACTTACTACACACAGCCTTTATATGCAGCACCACCCCACGTAATCCATCACACCACAGTTGTGCAGCCTAATGGCATGCCAGCAACTATGTATCCTGCTCCAATTCCACCACCAAGAGGAAATGGTGTGACTATGGGAATGGTGGCTGGGACCACTATGGCAATGTCAGCAGGTAGATGGATTTATATTGCTTACACTTTTTAATGTTAAGACCTTAGCAGAAATGTACTGCAGTTAACAGGCTTGCCCCAGCCACTAGTTTGTTTCATGCGGGATGTTTGTGTGCTGGTACATGAATGTTAAGCCATTCTAACTACAAAGTCCTAGTACTCTGGATTAGGCCACGTGAGCAGCATAGAAACATTGAAACCAAGGCAATCTGACGTGGCATTTTAATTACAGTGCTGCCCAAGAGATCAAGAGGGGCTTTTGTTCCTCCAGTCACTTGGGTTTTGGAATTAAAGGCTACAGTTCTCTTTCCCGGGCTGAGAGCTAAGCAAACTCTCCATTCTAGTTCATCAGAGAATTATTGCTCAGAACTGCCAAAGAATCCCAACCTGCACTTTCAGAGGGAACCAGCTTTAAGGCCTGGACATTAATGCAAGTACAGTTGTGGTCAGCTCAGCTGACTGTCCATTAGTAGTGCCAGTTCTAATATGTTTCTATCCAAACAAGGTAGTTTTATAACTAAGACCAAGGCTATAACGTAGTTCTCTGATGCAGTTACAGAATTTGCCACCCTGTCCACATTCGCCCTAAACTTGAGCTTGAGTGATTTTGTCAGTTTGAAGAAGTGGTGTCAGTGCAATGCTCAAACAAGTCATTTCTAGTACGGAATTAATATATATTTGGGGTGCTTCTCCCCAGAATCTTTGAGCGATGCTGATATTTAAGCACCAACTAGTGTACAAAATCTATTCCCTCCTCTGTTGCACCACTGCTGTTCTTCGGCAGCTTAAAACGTTTTCAGATTGGCTAACCAAGGTGAACGTGTTACATGGTAGTCTATTGAACTGCTGATTTCCATGCTCTAACAGGTAGCCCACAACCCTGGTGGGAATATTTTTTTCAGGCCCACACACTGTGTGCTCTTCATTACCTTTGTATTTTGCCCCGTCCCCGCCCCCAAATGCAGGGTAAACAGCATCAACTAAACATTATTAATTCACACACAGAGTGCTATGGAAGGAAACTGATTGGATTCTGGGATCTCAGTCTGTAGCCTTCTGCAGTCCCTCAGTCTGTTGCACAGACAGGAACTAAACTACATGTATTCTAACCAGTTTTCTTTTGCATTGGGTGTTCCTGCAGCACCCAGAGGCTATGCATGTGTAATGTGTGCTTATGCTATGCTCCTAAGTAGTAGTTCACCACTTGAAAAGCATCCAAGCATACATTGGACAGAACATTAAAGTGCCCTTATTGCATAAACATTGGAAGGAACGTAGATGGAATTGAAAATGCTTAAGAGACCCATTTACAGAAGTTGTGTATTAGTATATGTCAAAAGATGAACAAATGTAGATGAATATGGCTTTGATTTTCAAAATGACTGTTTCATAGAGTTGAAAGGTATATTTGACGTATTTAATATAAACATGATTTTTTCTCTTCTAGGTACTTTGTTGACGACTCATTCCCCAACTCCAGTAGCCCCTCATCCAGTTACTATGCCCACATATCGGGCTCCAGGAACACCAACCTATAGCTATGTGCCCCCACAATGGTGATCATTCTGGCAGTGTAAGTTACCAGTTGAAACAGTAGCCTGCATATATGTGGCCCCATGACTACAGATCCTTTCATAGAGATTTCACAGGAGTTAATCCATTTGGGGGAATTTAAAATATGCCAATTCAGTGAATAGGGATGAATATGGAGTATTTTGCCTAACTATCAGTTCTTGGTTTTGATTAAGTTTGTGGGAGGAAGGATGGTTTTTAAACACGATGTGTCTGTCTTCTAATGAGACTTGCTTTTTCTCTCTGCTCACCTCATTGTTGCCTGCATATAGAATCGAAAAAGATCTGTATCTCAGAGTGCAGCATTGTAATCTCTTAAGTGAAATATTAGGTTCACTTAATCCAAGGCCCTCGGGGTCTACATGAAACTGAGGCTAGTTTGCTCAATGATTTGGGTTTTATGGCAGTTCCTGAATCCAGCAACACTCTGATTCATGAGTGGAAAAGAAGTGTAAACCATGGACTGGGAGCTAATTCTGCTGCGACTCCCCCGCTTATCAACTAGTCAATGGAAAAGCCATCAACTAGTTGATTATAGTAAATTTAACATCCGTAATGTAGGCCAGCCCCTGTTGTCACCAGTATAATCTCTGCTCTCTTTGCAGTGAAATGATTGTCAAACTTTACAACATTGCAACCTTCTCTGAAGGCAGTATCATTTGTATGCAATACAATATTTGCACAGGTCTAGTTGTAAACACCTTACTGCTAAAACTGGTATTTGTAATGAAGAAATCATTAATTTTCTTAACATCATTTCTTTGGTTGCTCAGTGTTTTGTTTGGGGCTAAGAAGCATTAAAGGGTTTATTCAAATGAGATGTGAAAGAAAAGTATGCCAAGAAAAATACCACACTGGAGCGTTGTAAGGTATTACAGTTGCCTGCATTTGAAGCATTTAGCCATTTTTATTTGGATTTTGGCAAATCCAAATGTTCTTAGTTCTCTTTTGCTTGTGAAGTCTGTGGGATGTCAGTGAAGGGTTTGCTTCCTAAAACCTCGTTCTTTTTTGTAATTAAACAATCTGTGCCAGCACTTGTGTTACAAACAGCATTGGGGGCAGAATATAGGGTGTGACATGAGCAAGGCAAACTCTTCACATCCAAAGCTCCTTAAAACAAATCCTCACTGTCTGTTGAGTGTGTGAAGAAAACAAAGGGCCTTTTGCTCAGGATTGGTACAGTGAAGTAAAAGTACTTGTGTACTACAGATTCCTTAGCATGAAAATTCAAAAGCTAACAGCAAAAGTTTTTAAAATCAAATACTTTGTCAGGGATGTTTTAAAAAGTCTAGTCAATGGAGGATATTCGCCCTAGTTGGCAACTTAAAGGGCCATGAGTGGATGGTGGTTATAGCATAACTGCTATAAAGGAGCATTAAGTTATAGTTTGCGCCTTTTTAAAAAAAGTATGTTTTAAATCCGTGGTGTCCAACACACTAGCCACTAGTATTTGGCTCATTGAGTGCGGCTAGTTCGCTATAGCAGTAGCTGCAATAGTAGCTACTGCTTCAGAACTGGTTGGACAGCTCGGTTTTAAAATGTATTCCAGTGTAGAGCTTGCAGCATTAAACGAGATTCTGGGATGTTACATGGTTCAGATAAAACACAATTATGTGGATCTATCTTGCTTCTTTCTTTGAATGTAGGTTTGAAGATGGGAGATATGCAATCAAGTTATTGAGGTTTAAAAGTTGGTGCTGAAGCCCTCATGCCTCCAACCAGGACTTTCTTTCTTCTGAATGCTTTCAACACTTTGCTAAACACTACTAATTCCAAGTCACTGAAGATTTTTCCAGTGCTGCATATCTTACATCTTGGAACTCCAGCAGTTAGTCTTAAAGCAAATCCTGTTTTGTGGACTGTCTTGCAATTTTTTAGCTAATTATAATGATAAAAAGGGAGTATAAACTTATTCTGATCCATATCTAGTTGAATGCATGTTTTAAAAAAAAAAAAGCAACAAAAAAAAAAAGCAAAGCTTGCTCATGAAGTGACTGGTGCAAAAACCATATGCAAAATCCAAAGGAACCGAAAAGTATTTTACAACTTGTATCACTAATGCACTGTTGTAACATATGCAGGGTCTTAAAAGGTAGAATCGTGAATGCAAATTTCTTTGTTGAATACCATAATATACATTATATAACAGCTTCAACTTTTTTGGAGTCGCCAGTTAAAAGGGGAAAAATTTATGTAAGTGATGTATTCCAATTAAATTCAGCTAGTATAAATTGGAATGGCTGAAAAATAAGTCTGAAGAGCTGTAGAAATCCTGCACAGAACTAGTTTTCCACATTTACCTTTTCATTTCTAGTATATGGATGCAGTGTTATGCGAACATTCTTAAGGATCAGAATGGAAAGATTAAGGAAGTATTGTGTGACCAGTTAATGAAAAATGTGAATAAAGCAGCTTTCCCTGCTGCCCACATTCTCAAGGCAAATCTGTGTCATTAGAAGATATTCAGATATCGCATGAATTATGGCTCTTGAAAAGAATACATTAATTAAGAAATCTTATGAGGGAGGATGTGTCAAAATGAGACTGATACCATGGTCATGGAATCAAATTTTCTGTGGCTTCAGTCCAGGAAATCCATTCTTTTTTCCCCCTAAAGAATGTTCTAATCGCCTGGAAATGTATGTGCAGTTGATGCAGCTTGCTTTTCTAACACTTAAGAAATGCTTGGGTTTTCCACAACCAACTGGAGCAGTTTAATTACATGTTATCCTGAAGAAAGTTTTTGTGCTTGTTAAGTGTTTTAAAGGGGAACAAACCATTTTAACACAATTTCCTTTTAGCTCACATTATATACAATGTGGTTTATGGGTGCAGTATAATAGGGCTGTCAGAATGTAGATTTCAGAAAGATTTTCCTGGGGGAGAGGGGGTGGAAAAAAGCAATTGATCATAGTGGCAGTCATTCCTTGGTTACAAAATTGTTGATGTAATTGTTGAGTTTTCCTTTTGTACCTCCTAAGTTGCACTTGGAAAGCATGTAAATTAAGACAGATTGTAGATTAGTGTTTCATTGCAATGAGTCATTTCTGGTATTCTTGCTTGCGACTTCAATTTTTAAAAAATTACCTCAAAGCAAATGCTGTGGGGATAAAGGGCTAGCCTTAGAACCCATTTGTATACCAAAATCATTATGGGAAAGATTTTAAATTTTTAAATTTGAATATTGCACAAAAAATCAAGGTTTTCTGAAACCTGCCTGATTTATGATTCCAGTAAGATGCAATTTTTTCCAGATACATTCTGCCTGCAATAAATTATGCGGTAAATGGTTATAAAATATTGTTCCCTTTTAAGAGTTTACACAGATGTTAGGCTGTAGTGTTGTAGTCTGATTTCCATCCAGAAGTATTTCCTTTAAAGTTGTGTATCTACTTGGGTTTTGTTTTGGGGTGGTCTGCTCCTTCTACAGGTTCGGCAGCTACTTCATGGTAGCATCAGTCCTGATTTAAAGCTGCCGTTCTCATACTCTATCCTGGGGGGTGGGGTGGAGGCGGATGTACCTGAATTCCCATTAGAGGCTTGCCTTCCTAATTATCTTATTTTTTACAATAAGCACTCGGCATATTTTTTTACTTCCATGTTTTGTTTTTATAAAATTTAGGATTATTTTGCCTGGATCACTGTAAACAGACTGCCCCTTCTTTCTAATGTCTTTAACATAACTATGGTGTTGACTATAAGTACTTTAAAATTTACTCATGAGCACTTACTACAGCTTCAAGATTTCCATATAGTTATATATGTAGCAGAAAATTACCCCAAACAAACCATTTGAACCTGTACTGCTTTGTTCAAGTCTAACAATTCCATTTGTGTAGTGGGTTTGCAGCATTGACTGGTCAGGTGCTCCAGAGACTGTAGTGAACCTTAATACAGTTTAGCTAGTTTAGAGCGAGAGTTCATTGTCTTTGTATGTTTTTAATAAAAATAGTTGTGAGGTGTGAAACAGTGCTGGCTTGGGGAGAAGCTATAGAGATCAAGTTGTAAGCTTTGCTGTCTCCCATCTTGTTCCCCAGCGATAACAGCTTTGGAGACCTAGGGGAGAACTTTCATGAGTACTGCATTAGAGAAATAGTTATGGAAAGAATATAACATTCTATATATTTGTGCTGACTTCAGATTCCTAAACGTTTCCTTGGAATCATTGTCTCCTGATAATACTATTCTGTAACATTGAGGGGGTCTCGCTTGAGCACTTTTTTCTAAGTTGCATTGTAGGATTCATACACAAAGGGGAAATTGTACCTTTTTCTTGTTAAAGGTATTGCACCTTCCAGATGTGACTGATGTAAACAAACAGGAGGTTTAAGCTGTTCTCCAGTAGTTTGCTTAAGGGACTAACCAAAAGCACAGTGGTGGGGGAGAGGTGGTGTGTGTGTATATAAACTATATTAATGGTATTTTGTTGCAAATAGTGGAAAGCATGGATATGAAACTGGGATAAAAATCATACATTACACAGTGTGGGTGGCTTATGAAACATTTTCTCCTGCTTTTCATTTTACATTCCCTATTTAGAATCCTGTGTATAGCTTTACACACGCAGGCAGACACAGGACGTGACTTCTTTGGAGCTCTCAAGAAAACGAAAGGGCAATAGTGCAGTAGACACCAGTTCAAATCAAGCTTCTCTGAAACATTTATGGCAGCTTTATATAATAGATTAAAAAGAATACTACTTTAAACCTGTAACTGAAGACAACTATTACAGCAATAATGTTAAGAGGAAGTTTAACATAAATTTTGGCTCTAACGTCAAGTGTTGCATTTAAAAAAAATATTGTTGACGCTTTCCTGTGTTGGTAAACATCTGATTGTCTCTTAAATGTAGCTATGAAATCGAGTCATATTCTTGAAAATGGCTAGATAAGTGGCATCAGAAGCTGGAAGCCCTAGTGAGTGGTGTGGAAGAACTGCTTCTTTATTTTAAATCTTATTTTAACCAACCATTTCTTGTGGAAGTTTTGGAACACTTAACAGAATTGCTGTTCATAAAAGCTTTTGGAGAGTACTATGCAAGTTAAGGGCTTAGTTGCAGTGATAGATGACAAAAATTCATAATTTGGGATTCACTTTAGTTGAAGTTCTTCTTCCTACCATCTTACCCACTCAAAAGGCCCTAAAGTACCACCATGTCTTTGTGTTTTCTGACTTATAGTTCATGGTACAGACACACGTACCAGGGGACTCTACACTGATTAGTCTTTACAGAGCAATCTGGCTTCATGTCTGCAGAGACACACCCAAGTTAAAAACACTTGTGGAATTTTGAATAGCTCCCCCAGGGCTTGGCCACAGTATTGGATACTATTAGTTTGGGCCATAAACATGTTAATGTTGCCAGAATGGTGAAGTTCAGCAATCTTTTGACATAATTAATTGCAGGTTTAAAAACCATCAGAGAATAGAAGATATCTTTGTATGTGAAGCCCTCATTTTTACAGGTGCAGACATAGTGTAGTGATACTCCAGTTACACTTGTTGGAGAGGACCAGGGCCCTGATTGTCCATTTGTATAACTTGAAACAGACGTGTCAAGCAGCTTTGGTCCATGTCTGTACGTAATACACATCGGCTTCTGGTAGTGTAGGCATGGGACTGCCAGCCACGGCTCTGCCCCCAGAACGCCTGCTGTAGCTATTCTGGGGGCAGAGTGTTGCTGCCTGCCCTCCTTGTGCTCCTGGCCGGGGAGGCTGGAGCCATGTGGCTTCCTCCCTCCCCAGTGCTGGGGCTGCACCTCATGGCCTCCTGCATCCCCTGGTGCTCCAGGGGCCGGGGAAGCTGGGGTGCACATACATGGCCTCCTGCCTCCTCTCTTTCCCATGGGGATAGAGCTACAGCAGAGGGGTTGGGTCTGAAGGTGGGGCGGGGGCCTGCCTCCTTCAGCCCCAGCTGCACCAGCCTCCCATGGTAATACATATATTTTATGGTCCCACATCTCCAGCAGGTATCACCATCGGATAATTTAGTATTAATGAAGGTTCAGAACAACCCATTAATCTCCAGTTTAAAATGCATTCTGTTAATGGAAATCCTGTTAGAAAACATTAGGAAGAGTTGAACTTGTCCCTGTGTTTCTGATTAAGGAAGCAGTAAGCAGATAAGTTCTACCCACTGTAAGCCATCTGCAGAGACAGTTGGACCTAAGGGGGGGATGTTAATAAGGAGAAGGTCAGAGACGTGCAAGGGAGGTAGGATCACTTTTCATGCAAAATGGTTGGGCCTGTTCAGATTTCTTTTCTAAGTTAATGAGGACTTTTCAGCAGGCACTGTGAGCGTGTAGGAAAGAGGTAAAAATTGATGAGGCCAGGAGTGTTGAGGAGAGGGAGGGGGCTGGCATGGAGAGGAACAAGGCTTAGTCCTGGAGAGAGAGAAAAACATTTTCCTTTGTCTCTTGAATGTGAGAGTGTTGAGGAGAGGGAGGGGGCTGGCTTGGAGAGGAACAAGGCTTAGTCCTTGAGAGAGAGAAAAACATCTTCCTTTGTCACTTGGAATTATTGGACTACTACTGTGCTGAGGGTCCATTTGTAATATCAATATTCTCAACAGTTTATAGCCTGATACTCCCACATCAAAAAGTGACTATGACTTTTACAGACTGTTGTGACTTTGGGGTACTTAGCAGGCAAACTGGGAAAGCTTCTTTACCTGGCTGCTGTACAGACTTGTTTCAAGTCGAATGGATTTGTAAGTGAGGTTTTTAATTAGTGCTATTATTGGCTGCCCTCATGTCTACGATTTGTTTGGGAAGGGGGAGTGCATGCAACCGAAGTACAAGAGGCCCCAGTAATAGTTCTCCATGTTTGTTACAATATAGGCACAGGTTTCCTTTTTTTATGACTTTTTTTAAAACTGTCTTACAAGCAGTCATATTGGTACTTTTTTTAAGTTTAGGTAAATGTTGTCTTCCAGAATAAGTTTTAAAGCATCACTCACTTCTGCATTGAACTAGTGTATCAACACACCAAGGAGTGGAGATTCCATTCTGAGCCAGTTGAATTATGTGTAAATTCATACTTTTTTATTTTTATGCAATCCAACAAGTAGATGAGCTCAAATTTAAATTCTTAAAAGCACGTTTATTGTAACGAGAATTGTTATGTATTAATACTTCAGTTTTCAATAAAGATTGACTTGTGTTGCTTAGTGTGGTCTCTTGCCATCTTTTTGGGTGGCATGGGAGAGTGGTGGTGATTCCCTCCCCCTTCCTCCCCCCAAATCTCATAGAATTAAATACTTCTCGAAGGATTGGCTCCCTTTACTGGTAGTGGCCACGGCAGGGAAATTCAATTTTTGGCCTGAGATTTAAATAAGATACAGAGAACAACCTTCACCAGTCTAGAAACATCTGTGCAGCTTGGCTCGCAGTCAGTATTCCTTCCTAAACATTGCTAGGCCACCAGAAATAGGGGAAGAGCTACGTGTTTAATTTTCCAGTAGGTGGTAAAAATGTGTGTAGGCCTCCCTTCCGTGGGCTCCTCGCAGCTGGGTGTGAGCCCACAGTGTGAGGTGGCAATAACTGCCTTTGCTTGGGAGAGCTGTCAGCCATGATGGATTCACTAGCTCTGGTGTCCAACACGCCAGCCACTAGCCATGTGTGGCTAGTTAACTCCAGCGCCGCTGCTTCAGAACTGGTTGGACACCACAACACTAGAAGGAAGGCCCATTGTTTACAGTTTATTTGAATGTTTCTGAAAACTCGGTACAATGTTTTTAAATGGGTGAAATGCTTGGCCTGATCTCACCTCCCTCCTCTCCTAGGGACTAGATGAGGAAATGTTGCCCCTCTCAGTTCAGCCCTGTCAACAGAGCCTGCTGTGGAGGCAGCTCCCCTGTGTCCGGGAGCCAGTGGCGATGCTAGGCAGACAGGAGCAGGGAGGGGTTTACCTCTAAGTGCTTTATCATGGGTAGTTAGCAATACTTCCCAGCAGAGTGGACCCTGCAGCACTAATTCTTCAAGCACCCACCTACCTCCTCAGCAACACTGGTTGCAATTAAATTGTCAAATAGCTCTCAGCTGGGCAGATTGCTCTCCAGAAACCTTGCGGGGGAGCATTTGCAGGCAACCAGTGATGTCATTGCTGACGGCGACTGCAGGGCTACAGTATGATCTTGGGCCAATTATCTTCCTTCCCCTCAAGCAGTCCTTGGTGGTCACTTGGTTTATTGGTATTAGGCCACTTGTGTGGAAAGCACAAAACTGGGCAGGCAGAAATGTGGGCACCTTGTTTAGTTCCCATCTCATGAGTGTACATGTATAAGGCTCTGCAAACCCGCAGCTATTCACTTTGTATCTGTGGGGAGCCGCATCGGTGAACGTCAGAGCAGTTATCCGCAGCTCAGATTTACAGAGGTAGATGAGGATGCAGGTACAAATTTTTGTATCTGCACGGGGCTCTACATATGTCAACAGCCATTCGCACACACAGATATGTACGTGTCTTGGGTAAGGATCACACATGTGCCAACCACAAGAGCTATAAAAAAATGGAGCTAGCTGCATTGCTGAGAGCGCACTGGAGAATTAACAGCCCGTGATGTGCTGAGGGAAGGACAAAGTAGTTGCAGGGACAGAAATGACAGTGAATCTAAGCAAGCAGGACAAGCAGCCTTAATCAGAACACAGTCCCTGTCAAAGCCACCTGTTCTTTTATATACGTTACAGCTCATGATGGGGAAGGAGGCAGAAAGAGGAGGCGAAAGACTTAATGTGAAGGGAGATGTTAATTCCGCCGCAGGAAGGAGATTGCGGGCTGTGGCTAATGAGTGGATATCAGACAGGCCAGGAAAGCAGAAATCTTTTGCTTCTCCTAAGTCTGAAATTCTTCAGTGGCTAATGCAGAAAACACAAGAGAACTAGGGTCTGTGGCTCTAAGAATATAACCACTTGAAAAACTGTTTTGCCGTACAGACTTAATACCCTGCTAGTAAGAGACCTAGTCTCTCTGCCACTGAAAGCAGCAGCAATTCACAGGGAGCAACCTCAGATCCTAATACTTGGCAAGATTAAAGACTGTAGTTTTCCAGAGCGGGCAGAGGAATCCCGAACTACTGAATCAGCAGTGGAAATGTCTGTGGAGTCACAAAGTTAGTCAAAATTGCTTCTTTCTTTTATTTGCCTCAGTTCTTGGATGACCAGCCTGACACGTTGCAGCATCAGGAAACACCTCTGAAACTCGAGGGCCCATGGGGCCTCAATCTGAGAATCTAAATGTGCGCTGCTTCTGCAAAATGGGCAGCATTGCAGGGCCCTGGCTGACCTGTCAGGGACACAGGTATTGCAGCATGGTGCTTCTTGGGCAATTGGAACTGTCACCACTTTCCATATGGGGAATGTTCCTTTTTGGAAATGAGCAGGAGGAGGGAGAGTCTTGTTAGCTGACAACACAAAGCCAGAAAGCTCCACTTCATAAACGCTGCAGAGTCATGTAAAAGTTTAGCTCCGATTAACCATGGAAACTCATCGGTTCATTATTTCATTTTCTTTGCGCTTTCCTTCTACCGTCCATCTTCCAAAGTCAGTGGGGGAGCCATGAGGCTCGGGTGTACTGACTCCAGCACTGGCTAGAGCAGTGGTCTCCAACCTTTTTACACCCAAGATCACTTTTTAAACGACAGACCAAGCCAAGATCTACTGCCCTGCCCCTTCCTTGAAGCCTCGCCCTCTCTATTCTCCTCCTCTCCATCACTTGCCATCCCCAATCCTTATACTGCTACTTTAAAAAAAAAAATTCCCACCATTCCTCGCAGCTACTCACCTGTGCTGTTGCTCGGTGAGTAGCTGCTCCTCAAATGAGAAAATCTAATGTAAATGTACTGCGCAGGCGCGCAGTTCAGAGAGAGCTCAAGAGCTACTCTTAGAGCC